ATTTTCCATACATTGTATAGTTCACTGTGTCCGGGTGTTGTGTGTTGTTTTGACAATCAATCAAAGAACAAGGAAAAGAACAATAGGAAATTTGTATGTAATAAGACGCGTTGTTATGAATAGTGAGCGCGCATTTGTGAATGAATCCAATCTAGAAAATCTTTTATATTTATTCTATGAATAGCATCGACAATAATACATGCATGCTATAAATAAGATAAAGCACATGGCAAATTATAACTATTAAGGGTACGTTCGACACAAAAACAATGATCGATCGTTTGATATGCATTTCGTGCATAACTCAAATTTTCAAAGACTGCGAGCGATCCTGTGAAATTCTGAATGATTGTTCTCATTCTCTTTTTTTTCTTGAACAACGGTAAGCCAAGTTATTGAAAAAATCTAATGGAACGAAAAGGGTGAAAATTTTTGGAAATTCTATGCGAAAAAAAGATTATTCTTTTTATCGTGATTATATAAGCTCTAACCAATATAATGAGTCTTCAACTGGTGACTTTATTCCGTCGAGTTTAAATCTTTACCAATCGAATCTTGATCCGATTCGTAATTTCACTACTATTTACTGTATATAGGCAAGAACATATATTAATATAAATAAATAAATGACCTTGATTTAATTATAAAAGCACCTTGAGTTCTATCAGAAAATTTTTAAAAAGCAAAAAAACACACTTCATATATTAAAAATAACAATGACTACAAATACAAACCAAGAGAATTTTCTCTTCACCGATGATAATCGTAATTTGCTACACTATTCTTATTTAGTCGATAAGGTTAATACTCGACTTGATGAGTTACATCATACGGAACAACAAATTAATGAGCCCATTGACATTTGGTCCAACTTTATTGAAGGATCGGACCTTCCTCTAGTAAATGAAGTAAACGTTTTGCCCGACAGCTTTAATTCTGACATCCCAATAATAGAAGTTGAATCGGTTGAGTTCGATTTATATCCTAATCTCTCGAGCAATAATGAAGTGTCTCAGGGTGACCAAGAGAATTTTTTTACCGATAATCATCATGATCTGCTACGCAATTTTTATTTGGTCGATGAGGTAAATACTCGACTTGATGAATTGGATCAACAAAATAATGAACACTTTGATATTTGGTCCGATTTCATCAGAGGATCCGATCTTCCTATAGTAAATGAAGAAACCGTTTTGCTCGATTTAGATCGTAGCTTTTATTCTGATATCCCTTTGATTCCGATATTCCAATAATAAACGTGGAGTTTGTTGAGTCCGGTTTACAACCTAATCCCATGAAGCATCCGTTTATTGCCAAGATATATTTTAATTTAAGTTTTAATTATTCTAAGCTTTCATTAATCTAAGATTTTTTGCTCCCATTTATGTTCTATTTCTGTTCGTCTTCATTTTAAGCATATGATACATTTATTGCCAAGATATATTTTAACTTAAGTTTTAATTATTCTAAGCTTTCATTAATCTAAGATTTTTTGCTCCCATTTATGTTCTAATTCTGTTCGTCTTCATTTTTTTAAAATGTAGGCTCGTTCACTAAATACGTAAAGTGAGTTCGTTCTATTTTTCCTAAATTTGTTCTATTTTCTTAGATTCGTTCTGTTTCTCTTAAATTCGTTCCGTTTCTCTTAGATTCGTTCCGTTTCCCTTAGATTCGTTCTGTTCCTCTTAGATTCGTTCTGTTTTTCTTAGATTCATCCTGTCCCTCTTAGATTCGTTCTGTTTCTCTTAGGTTCGTTCTGCTTCTGTCACTCGTATATACACGTATAGATTGAGTTCGTCCGTCGAAAATTTTCTGTTAAAATAAAGATAAATTTGCACAACTTATTATTTAACTATGGTTGATACTGTATCATAAATAACTAAAATGTGCCTTGCAAAATATTTATTAACCATAGAGGCACATGAGCACCGTAGTGAGAATTATAAACAA